CACACTGCGATGGTAAATGGGAAGTCCATTTCCAGGAATGAGTAGATCCTATCTGTGCAGGTGCCACAACAACTTCACCCTACAACATTATCATAAACACATTAGAGGAACAGCTTTTTGTTTGGAGGCTACAGAAGTGAGGATTATAGTTACCCATAATAATCTCTTACATTGTGTTCAGGTTTGTCTGCAATGAGAAGCTGCAGCTCGTACACGAGCCCATCTCGTATCACAGAGCAAGAAGGGTCATCTTCCCACTTTAACAGGAAACTCTTGTAGTCAAGAGTCACATTCTGAGGTCCACAACGCAAAACACCTAAAGGAAGTGACCACAGGACATTTTATGGTTAAAGTGGAACACTGAGCAATTCTTGAGATAAAAAAGACATAGTTAGGCTGTCAGTGAGCACACAGACTCATACTGATATTTTGTTAATGGCCTCTGGTATCTAGCAGACACAAACAGTGTCATGAACAAGTATAGTATTATAGGCACGTCCATTATGTCTGCCAGATGGGGTGACTAGGACACTAAAACACTGAGGCTTAAAAATGCAGAGTCCAAAATCAGTGGTTAAATCGTGCTGCCTGTGTCATTTTTTGGGAGGAGCTGAGAGTAAATATAAAAACAACTTACTAAGCAGACATTTGAAAGCTCTGCTCTATTTTTAGACTTGACTGATGAGGAATAGCAAGGGAACACTTTAGTTTCGGGGAATAACAGGTGATTTTCTATACCGATTATGTTTTTAAAAAAAAGCAAGATGAAAAAGAAAAGCCACTGTGCAGTCATGTGATGTTGTACAGCTAACTGATGTGTGATTTAAGGGCAAAGATGATGCGCTGCTGGTTTGTAAAGTCTTTTTTCAAACCACTTCATCAAGTCATTGAACATATGTGTCCACACATGGATGTCTGCTATATATTTCTTAATAATACAATAATATTTTTCTCTACAAAGCTGAAACAGAGTTTTTGGGGTTCTGTCAAGAGAATTAACCACACAGGAAGAGATATTATTTGTCAGATATTTGCATTTAAAATGCTCAAAAACTGACAGACAGGAACAAGAAATCCACACAAATTAGTGAAGGTAAAGAAGATAGCTTGCAGACTTGTCTGCACCAGTCTGCCAGTTACAATGACCTTGGTTCTGAAAAATTGCAAACTTTGAACATTTATGTGAAACAAATTTGAATTATCAATTTGATTCAGAATAGGAATTAAGAAAAAAACTATTTCTACACACACAAAATGTTTAAAAAGAAATTATGCACATATTCTTTCACATCCACAAAAATGAGTTCTTGGGCCACCTATGACCATACCTCCACCCTCGCATGCTGTAACTTTATCTTGCTGACACGCACTGTATTTGTTTGTTTTATGACCAGTAAGAATCTGCACATAAAAAATATCCTGTATACACAACTACAGCCTTTGCTGAAAATGGAGACTTCTTTACTAAAAATATCAGATACTTTCTGTACCTACAGATTGTCACAGAGGTTAGAGGATGACATACTCACCGTCTTCTTGTCCATCTTGTGTGCTTTCTCTGAAGAGTGAGAGCAATAACAACCACGTGATCATGATAATAATAATCCTGATAATCCTCATTTAGAGCTGTTTGTTTATTTAGATAGAAAAAACCTTCAAGAATTCAGCCGGGTAGTTGCGGTGATAAACATCAGCTCGTCAGAGTGGTTGAAAAGCAGATTCCTGAGGCTTCTTTCATAGAAACAAAAGCATGTTCACGGGGAAGTTTGGGTTTTATTTGAAGAATCCGAGAACAAAGACTCGAACAGGGAAGAGTCACAGTGTTGGTGTCAGGTTACTCCCTGTAGCCTCCCTCCCTTCACATATACAATATGGAAATCCATTTGATTGTGAAATCCATGTGGACCCCACCACAGGAAATGGAGCATTATGTTCTCGTAAATGTGACTCACAGCAGCGAGCTCAGACATGCTCTGATGCTCCAGAAAAACATCGGTCAGGGAGAATCGAGCCTTAGATTCTGAAAAACATGATGATTCCAAACTTGGCATAATGACAGGACCTGCCGGCTCTGATTTTCAGACCAGTTATTGTAAAGCTTTAATTTAAAATTGATTCTTTGCTAAGTTCTCTGTGTAGACACTACACTGGTTCATCCTTCTAGTTAAGTGTTTTTTTTAAATGCATGAATGATTCATAGTTCAGTGTTAAGTGGTAAAACATTTCTCTGAAAACAGCCAGGTACGATGACTGGACTGAAAGTGAGAGCAAAAGTGGGGTTAAGCTCACTTGACCCTTTATACTGGTGCTGCAGTTGTGACATCACTTTTAGGGCACACTGCTTTTTATGAAGTTAATAACTCGGCACTCCAGCATCAAATCCAAATACTTCTCTGAGTTCTTGCACAAAGTAAATAAGCACCAAAAACCACTTAATAATAATAATAATAATAATAATAATAATAATAATAACAACAAAAACAACATCAACAATGCAGACAAAAGTTACTGCTGATGCTTTAAAATGTGGAGTCCAAAATGGTAGCTCTATTGTTTGCATACAGTCAAAATTATGTATGCACATTTTTATGATTAGATAATTAAATGTCTGCACCCTTGCTAACCCTGCAGCCAAAACATTTAAGATAAGATAGAACTTTATTAATC